GTTAAAAAAGATAATATTATTTACCAAACTAGTTATCTTTTCCTCAATCTTATTATTATCAACATCCTCGTAAAAAGAATTTTCTTTTAATGAAATTGACTCTACAAATGAAATAATAAAACATTAACAAATAATATATAACAACAAAATATAATAACTAACAATATGCTAAAATAAAAAATAAAATTACATAATATGAATTATTGTACCTTCTTCTTTAGCCCATAACCAACTTTGACAACATGCTAAAGCTTCTATAGTTGATGGATGAAGTCTATTACGTTGTGCACTCACCAACCTCCCTCCAGTACTAAAAGTAGACTCTGAAGCAACAGTAGAAATTGGTATGGCATATATATCTCTAACAATAAGTTGTAAAGTCGAAAATTGAGGCCCAGTTAGTTTCCACCAATTCAATATATCAAAATCTCCTTTTCTTAGTATGACTTCTTCATCAAAGTAACGATCTAACTCTGATTTTACTTTTGATTTTTTCTTTTTTTTTTCTTGAAACAAAATCATCATAGTCTCCCAAATTTCCCAATTCAGTAACACCAACACCATCTAAGAATGAAAAGCTTGAACTAGAAGGTCCTTCTTCCTTTTTCGAAGCCAAAATTTCCTCATACTCCTTAAGCAAATCCCGACATATTTTCACAATCCTTTCAATTTCAAATTCAGCATTTTCTCCATAAATCTTTTCAAAGTAATACTCCAACAACTCTGTTTTATACCTTGGATCTAAAATTGTAGCAACACCCATTATACCATGCACATCATTCCAATATTTTTTAAATTTGCCTAACATACTTACTGCCATACATGAAATAATTCTATCGGTCTGCATAATCCATTCATTCAATGCCAATCTGATTTTGCAAATATTAGGAAAATAAAGATTTACAGTAACATATTTTGCGCCAGAAAACCCTTCAGTGATATCATAAAACAATTTCAACTTATCACAAATCTAGGTTGCAATGATCTAATCATTTTCAGTTGGTAAATGTTTGTACAAAGGATCACCATGTAATTGCACACAACGAGGAAAAACATTTTTATAAAACAAAGCTGTTCGAAGCATCAAATAAGTAGAGTTCTATCGTGTTTTGACATCAACACACAACTTTTTTAAAGTTGGAATGCGCAATTGACGCGCTGTCTCTTCAAATTTTTCTCACCTTTTTGGTGTAGCACCCCAAAAAAGGACACTATCACGAATTCTTTCAATTCCATCTCCAATCACACTCAATCCATCTTTCACAATCAAATGCAAGATGTGTGCACAACAACGCATATGAAAAAAAGCTCCATTAAGCAAAAATGCATCATAACCAATTCTATCAATTAACAACTCAATAACACCATCATTCACACTACAATTATCCACTGTAATAGATGAAAATTTTCTATCAATATTCCAATCTAGGAAACATTTCATCAAACTTGAAGCAATGACCTCTTTTGTATGTGGAGTTGGCACATATTCAAACCTAATTAAACAATCAATTATTTACACTAATTTAATAATTAATTCAATAATAATAATTACTTAATAAAAAATAAACATTATCAAAATAAGATAATTTAATAAAATATACCTGATGATGCGTTTTTGTAAGTTTCATTGATTATCGATGTAATGAACAGTGACAGCCATGTATCCTCTTTTTTGGTGATCAGCAGTCCACATATCAGTTGTGATAGCAATTCTTCCTTCATTAGCTTCCAACTTGGATATTATTTTTGCCTTTTCCTCTTTGAAAATCTTCAAAATATCACTCTTTATAGTATTTCGAGAAGGCATAGCAAACAAAGGTTGGAGACTGTAAGAGTACTTTTTGAATTGCACATGATCAACCATTGATAAAGGATATTCGTGTATGATTATCATGTTGGCAAGCTCCCTCATTGTGACTTTGATCAAAGGAAAGGTTTTTTAGTGTTACTTTTCCATCTGCATTCCTTTGATTTGCTATCAGCACTTGTTGACGAATATCCATTTGAAATCGCTTGCTGCACCTGTCTGAATGCTCACGTAAATGACTTGTCCCATTCTTTGAAGCACCACCAAGTTTTTTCTTACAATAATTGCATATTGCCTTCCATTCATTATTGATTTTCTCTTTTTTAAAATGTTTCCATACTTCTGATTTTAGCTTACTTGAGTTATACCCACTATCATCAACTTCAGCACCATGATTCGTCACACTTAATGATTGAGTTGTATTTTCATCAGATGTTGGAATTGGAGTTTGTTGAATTGGTGATTGATGTGAGGTAGAAATAAGAGGTGTTGGGAAACACGAATTATCTCCCAAATTAGACATTTTACCTTTATTCAAAAATAACAGACATGATTAATTTCCAAACACCACTAAAGTTTATGCTAATGACAATAAACTAAGGTTATAACTTGAAGGGCAAAGCAAGCTATTCAGAAAGACTAGACTAATTATCTCAAACAGAACCATTTTGTTATGATTCCCCCTTCAAAAAAATGCTAAGGTAACACACTGAGAACTTCAGTATTGTTGATATGCATGGATCAGAACCAGACGATAGCATATTCAACTATAGACATATAATCTAACAAGAATCCTCACCTATTATATAAACAAGAACGAAATTTCTCAGTGAATTTCATACAAGTAAGGTAGTAACTCATCAACTTAAATTTCTTGTAGATCAGAATGTTATCATCATTATGTTTGTTATTGCCTTCAAATAAGGCAACAAGAGATAAAGAGAGAATAAGGAGACATAGCAAACATGCCTGAAAATAACATCTAGTAAAATCATCTATGGCCTGTTTCCTACCTAAATCTAGCGAACTTTTAGCTAAAGTCGTCGGCGACGCTGATAACATCATTTTTGAAAGAAAAACCCCGAAAATCAACCAAAAAAGTTATTTTTTTTAAAAATTCAAATTAATATCCTTGCTAAACTCGCACTGAAAAACTTAGAAGAAGATCGACATAGCAGACATTTTGAGGAAGAAAAAGAAAATAAAAGGAGAAAAAAAAACGAAAATTGAAACGTTTCGGATTTTGTTGGAAGAAACGAAAATCAAAACTGCTTACTAAAAAAATCGAGAAAGATGAACAAGAAAGTAAAGCAGCGGCTTTTTAAAAACAAAAGTTAAAAATTCTAAAAAATTAAAAAAAAATTCTTACAAAAGATTAAGGTTGTTGAGAAACAAGCCTTTCAAAACCAAGCAATAATAAAAAAAAAACTGTTAAAGTTGTTTTCAGAGAAAAAAATAAGCTTATTCTCCTTCTTCTTCTTGTTTTTTTTTTCTGTTTTGCTTTGGGTTTTATCAGACTCAAAGAAACAGTTTGGATCTGATAAAAAGGGTTTAAATTAAATGGTTTGAAATTTATTCAAGACTAAAATAGGAGGACTGAATTGATTAAAATAATAATTAAAATAATATTTTTGAAAATAAAAAATAGAAAGAACTGACGAAATTGAAATGCACGTTTGGGAGTGGGCAGCACCTGTGTGAGTGTGAAGCAACCTGGCAGTCTGACAGATAGAAGCAGAAATGCAAAACAGAACGGTTGGGGAAGACGAGAGAGAACGGCCAAAACCCAAAAGAAATTAAAATTCAGAAACCCTAAAAAAAATTATATATATATTAAGGGTATTTTGATAAATATTTCGGGTCAGGTAGGGTCGGATTTCATACAAACCCGACATCGACCCGAATCTGATATTTTTAAAAATAAAACCGACCCGACCCGAAATTCGATTTTTTAAAAAAAATTCAATCATAAAATAATCAGATCGGATCGAAACCCGACGATTTCGAATTGATTTACCGACCCTAACTCGAATGCATGTCCATATCCATTTATAAAAAATTCCACGTGCATTTGCATGGGAGTAAGTCTGAACTTTGGACTTTCTGGCCGATTTTTTTGACAACCGACCGATTTGCTTTCGTCCCCTTTCTTCAAATATTTATTTCCAGTACTTTAAAAAAGAAATATTTATTTCCTTTGTTTAACAACATTCCGAAACCTTATTTCCCGCTGCAACTTTACAAGACAAAAAAGCGTAAGCCTCCTTTCATAACTGGACCCACACTACTGATGAACATTTTCAACAGAAACTCCCACCGTACGATCTGATCCTATCCCTTAAGATCACCAAAAGATTTGGCCACATCTAGTTGCGATCACACGGTACGGTATCAACTGTCTCCTTCTGATATGAACCGTTGGATCAGTCTAACCATTCTGATTCGCTAACTCTTTAGTCTTTAATCTTCCAGATACAGCCATCCTCCAATCTCTCATGGACTCCAGTTGCCACGTGGATGTAGGTCCACCGTATATTACATTTTTTATCGTAATCAAACGACAGGACGTGTAACAACTCAATCATACCTTTTTGTAATCAAAGTTAGGCGTGGACCTTTCAAAGACTAACAAGTCAACTCATCGTTTTTTCTCATTATATAAATGCTCTCTTTAAGTTTCAAACTTTCTTGAATTTTCATCAAAAAAATGTTGAAATTGAGAAGAGTATGTCCAATCCCCAATGAAAAAAAAAATAGATTGGCGATGTTTTTGCCTTTAATGATGTAGATAAAAAAATTAGTACGTCCAATTATAGAATGGTGTATTTGAATTTAAATTTGGAGATATAAATTTAAGAAAAAAACTCTAATTTTAGGAACCAAGACATATAGATAAAATTAAAAAAAAAAAAACATTATAACTACTAAATGTAAAAAAAAAAAAAAAAAACTAATGGTAATATAATTAGAAAAGAGAAAGTAGCAATGGATTATAGGAGTAGTAGTAGTAAGAGTTACCTTAAAACACCTCCAAAATAGGCCTAAGGGGCACATTAAAGTAATTATGAAATGTGTGCTGTAACGGCGCCGTTTGACATTATAATTTGCCTTTATAATTCTTTATAGTGTATAGTACGAGATACAAACCAACAAGTAATTTGACTGTCAATGTTAATCAAAACAACCTTTATTTGTTTCCTAGCTGTTGTCTGCCCGCCGCACCCCCATTTTGAACTCTCCCCCGCTTCTCCATTTCACACTCTCCCTTCCCTTTCCTATAAAATTCCAAATCAACCCATTCCTTCTCTCCTCACTTGCTTCCCTCTCCATCAGGTAAAATCACTTTCTCTCCTCTTTCTACCCTTTGTAATGTCTCATTCTTTCTCTTTGTTGTTTCTGTTGTTGGGGTTTTCAGATAGAGAGAAAACGAAAGTGCAATGGCGGTCAGTTCCAGAGGGAGAATGACAGAGCTTGGAGTTGTTTCAAGGAAGTGGAAAGATAGAGAAATAAGCCCGGAAAGAAACAGAGTCTGGATTGAACCCAAGCCTCACAACGACACCATTAACAACAACAACAACAAAAAGTCTTTCAATATTGAAAGAAAAGTTGCTGTTGTTTACTATTTGTCTAGAAATGGTCAGCTTGATCACCCTCATTTCATAGAAGTTCCTCTCTCTTCTAATGATGGACTTTATCTAGAAGGTAAGAAAAGTATTAAACCTTCAAAAGGACTTCGTTTGCTTTCTGGGTTTTGTCTTGAGGGGAAGAAAAGAACGTTAAATTTTGAAAAACTTTCTTTCTTTTTCTTTTTCAATCCCTGTTTGGTTCCAGAGAAAATAATCTATTTTTTCTTCAGATGTAATCAACCGCCTAAACCTCCTTCGAGGCAAAGGCATGGCTAGTCTGTACTCTTGGTCCTCCAAACGGTAACACTCTCATTCATTCCCAACCGTCGGATCAGATTACCATTTCCATTCACCGACCGATGTTGATGTTTCAGTTTTGTGTTTTAAACTCAGGAGTTACAGAAACGGCTACGTTTGGCACGACTTAGCAGAGAACGATTTTATTTACCCATCTCACGGGCAAGAATACGTTCTCAAAGGATCGGAGATTCAGATTCTCGACCACTCGATAAACCCTCAATCCATGGAAATAACGTCGTCTTCTTTTCCATTAACAAAACGGCCGGAGTCTCAAAAGACAGGTAATGAGCATGATTTTCCTTCAGTCAGACGGCGGAGGAATCAATCTTGGAGTTCTATTGATCTCCAAGAGTACAAAGTTTATAAGGCTGAGTCAAGCTCCGAGTCAGCTCGGAGACTCGCTGCCGATGCGTCGACTCAGACTGAAGATAAAAGGAGGAGAAAAAAACCGGTAGTAAAGCAAGCGGAAATTGAAGAGTTGCGGAGTCAAAGTCAAAGTCAAGAGTTGGAGATGAATCAGACTACGGAGCTGGTTGGGTGGGGGATTTCGCCTACCATGTCGGACTCGAGTCCGGAGACTTTGGAATCCTTGATTAAAGTTGATGGACGGCTGAGATTGCGTAATGGTGGTGGTAACGAAGATAGCTTGAATCGGACGGCTGAGAATTGCCCCAGTGGGAGAATGAAGCCGTCGTCTGTTTTAATGCAGTTGATATCGTGCGGTTCGATCTCATTTAAGAATTGTGGTCCCAACTCGGAGAGGAATCAAGGGTTCTCGTTGATTGGGCACTACAAATCGAGGTTGCGACGCGAAGCAGAGAATCGTCTCCAGCTGGGGAAAGAAGCAGGGATTGAGAGGGAAATTGGAAGCTTCTCAAGGGTAAGATTGGAAGATAAAGAGTATTTTAGTGGGAGCTTGATTGAGACCAAGAAACAAGAGGTTCCTGCATTGAAGAGATCTTCTTCTTACAATGCTGATAGGTAACCTACAATGCACAAAATTTCTTTGTTAACAGTAACTTAATGATGATACATGAGTGAATTTGAAGTTTTGGTTTGAAAAATGAACTGTTCTGTACCTGGAAAGCAAGTCAAGTGGGTTCTTACCTTACCTTTCCTGGGATTTTGAGTAAGACAATTGATTCTATTTCTGAAAGAGGCCCTGCTGGCCTGTTTTGGGTATTGAATGTAAGATTCATACAGGGTTTTGGCTGACAACCAGCTAAAGCTGTTCATTTTGTTGCACAGATATAATCGATTGTTCATGCACTGGAATGTCTGTGTACGTCTTCAACATCTGTTCTTTTCTAATCCTTTTTTTTTTTTATCTATCAGCTATCTGTCATATTAAATGCCTGCCATCCACATTAATAATCCATATTAAAATCCCATCTGGTCCCAGAATTAAAATCTTGTATTTGGGGCTTTATGTAATGAAATCTATAAGAAACAAAACAATTATTGGACTACTTTCGTACTAGGATTGAAGGGGGACCTAGGAAAAAATTTTCTGTCAAGATTTTAAGCTTATACTTATTAGATAAAGAAAAGCTTAAACATTAATTCTTGTTAGATTGTTGACTTCCTTGAGATTTGCTTTTGCTTGTTGCTCAGTTCATTTGATTAATTTGGGAACTTTTTAATCATCAGGAGCTCACAGTTGCAGTTGGCAGAAAAGGAGAAAGATGGAGTGCATGCCAAGTGCATACCAAGGAAGCTAGAAACTCTGTCAATGAAGAAAGAAGGCAACATAATCACAGATAGCAGCGGTGAAAGTGGAAGCATTAGTCAAACGGGAAGCAAAAGGCATGACCGTTAGATCTTCATTTTTCATTGGTGCATTGGAGCTGAGCTATGTGAATTGTAGCAGTTTGTATTTTTGTTAACAAAACAGGGAGAAGTCAATGACAATGGAGAAAGATTATAGGGAAACGCACAATGAGAGGAACAGTAGGGTTAGGAATCTTGTAAAGCTCTTTTGTTGAAAGGTGTAAAATTTGTCGATTTCCGTTTGCAGCTTTCAGCTTAGGTCAACTTTTGATGCCTTGATTTTTGTGGGAGTGGTTCATTTTGTCTTGATTTCGGTGTATTGGCACTAACCCCTAGTAGTTTTAGGCCATTTTGACAATAACTTGGTTTGACTTTGAAACATGGGAAATAGGATTTCATCCTAGGTATTATCATCTGCTTTGGTCTTAGGCTCCATTGTGGGAAAGTTTTGTTTTTCATGGCTGGCCTGTCACGGACATTGGAGATGTGAAACTTAAAGATGTACACCAAGAACTTCCAACCTTTCCCATGGCAAATTTCGACTTCCATTTGGCAGATCTTCGCCTTGGAATGATCACTGTGCAGAGAGTTGGAAGGAGTAATATCTGGTGTTGAACCGAGTCAAGTTTAGCAACTGTCTATGTGATCCTTCAAAGCTTGCGGTTTTGATGCTCGCAATATATACGAATCCGCTTTCTTATCAAATTTTGTCCGAATGGCTACATTTGGTTGCATTTCAGCTTGTTGCATTTTCATGTTCATAAAGACTGAAAACTATGCATGAATGTAATCTCATGTTCATACAGAGCAACAGTCCATGTAATTTGTTTGAACATTACTAAATTCTTAATTTTGAATCCAAAATTCAATCCGAGACAAATGATAACCTCAAATACGATGTACTATTGATCTATTACATTTCATTGAATCGTAAGGAATTAAGAGTGATAATGAATTAGATTTAATTCAGTTCTTTTAAATAATACATAAAATTATGAATTTTTAAAATTTAATTCAAATCTAAATTCAAACCAAGTCCTATGATCCAAATAAAACTAAATTAAATTCTACTAGTATGATTTGATTCGATTCAATGGATTTTTAAATCAATTTTTTTTTACTTCTTATATAGTATTTTAATATAATTTTAATATATTTAAATCGATTTAAGTATAAAATAATTATTTTATTTTATAAAAAATTTAAAAATATAAAAAAATTAATAAAAATATATAATTTAGTTCGATTTTTTTTTTATTCGAAATTTGATTCGAACTTTATACATATATTTAATATTCAAACTTAATCTAAATTAAATAAAAAATTAATTATATGTATTTAATATTCAAATATAATCTAAACAAATAAAAAAATTAATCTAAACTAAACACTATAATTTTAAATCGATTTTCGATTTTTTCAATTTGTTCTCAACCATTTCTATTCATATTTCAGACCATTAGGACAAAACATTCAATTGTTTTGAAGAGCTTGATCGGTCTCATAGTGAAGAACTCCAGGTCCAGTTCCAGGGTAGTTCCAAAGCCCAATATCAACAATCAACTCCACCTAGTAACATTGTTTTGCCGAAATAAAGATTTTACAAGGCGTATGTAGCCCAAAGAGCAAAAGCATGACCATGGGCTTTGTTTCCACATGATGAAATTCCTAGAAAGGAATGACATTTAACCAAAAAGAGAAGTAAAAATGTAACTTTCCTTATTTAGTACTTGTAATAATGTTGTTTGAGGAAAGCATAGTCTCAGCATAAAATCGAGGTTACAGTAACATTGATACCTTCATTTTTTATTCTTAAAATACCTAATTAATTGTCCAAATTCTACACATATGAGTTTCTATTGAAAACAATCAAAATTTAACGCATGAATTTTATGTACATACATGTTTGCCAATGATTTCTTCAAAGTTATAATAATTAAAATTTAATCCTAACAAAATTATAATTAATTTGCCAAAACTGTCTTTTTTATTGCAATTAGATAAAAGATTATCAATAATAAATTTATCAATTTCTGCATCTTTGTTGTTCTTATTTTATAATAAACCTAAAAATTAAATTAATGTTTTACAATTCATGTTAATGTATCGAATACGAAATATATTTTTTATTTTTATTAATTTTAATATGCATTTTTTTAATATATTTTTAATATAACTTTCTTTATCTTATTAAAAAAATTTATTTCTGTTAAATCAGCTTGTTCTGCAAATCATATACATAATGACCAAACTAACCACAAAAAGCCACCGTCGGCTCTGACCATCTATGACTATGGCAGAATTTCATCCCATTTACCATTTCAGGAACCAAATTAAACCAGATGGCATTTTAGTCATTCTAATTACCTTCCAATTCATTTATCATCCCATGTATAATATTTAGTCAAGACACAAATTTTTCTCTCGATTTTGAGGGAATCTCTCTTTGCTTCCTACAAAAAATCTAAGCATGTTTTAGTGTTAGTTGTAAGGAAATAAAAGATTGTCTCTACCAAATTCCAATGCCCATGTCTTTTGTTTCCGTTGCCACATTGTCTTAAAACAAACAATTTCAAAGCTCTTCACTTCCCTGTAGATTTCTCATTAGGTAAACATGAAAAACTATATAGCTCCTCTCTTCTTTTCCTTTCTTATTTCATCAAAGTTTCTCCATTTTTGCATGCTTTCAAAGCCATTGAACACAAAGCTACTGTGTTTCTTTCATATATAGTTATTGCATGTTACTTGTCACTATTCCTTTCATGATTTTTTTCCCTCTGTCTTATGGTTTATGATATATATTATGGTTTTATGATTAATGGGTTTTGGTCTTTTTGATGAATTCTAATATAGTTATTATAATTCTTGTTTTGTTGAAGTTAGTGGGTTTTGTTTCTGGATTCAATTGGGTGTCTTTTTTGGGCTGATGGGTCCTGTAAGAGGGTCAAAGAAAAGAAGGAAGATAGAGAAGAAGCCTGAAGAAAATGCTTCTGCTTCTGGTTCTCCAGCGAAGGAACGATCTGTTGATTGGTGGAATGAGCTTTCCAAGAGGATGAATGGTATTTCTTTTAACAGTTTTGTTGGTTCCCTGTATCAAACTCTTGACTTTTGTTCTGTTTTTACAATCTTTATTTGGAACCTTTTTTTTATGCTTGTGGTGTGTTACTGTGTTGAAAATGATATTTGCTCTAGTCGATCATTCATGGCATGGCAGATATTTAAATTTCTTTTAGCAGTTGACAGATTTTCAGTTCATGGGTTGCGTTCAATTTTGGAAAATTTGACTGGCTTTACGATTTACATCATATATGAAAAAATATATATATATATATATATATATATATATGTTGATGCGTAGAAACTGCATTTCGGAACATATAAGCAGGATCCCTAATCTGACTTTCAGGTCGTTCTTTTATCGTAACAGTCTGGTTTTGTTATGTTATTGAAAGGAGAAGAGGATAAGATAATCTTTTTTAATATTATGATATATAGTAATTGTGGGCACTTAGTAAAATCCAAGGAAATAAGGTTATATTGGTTTTTAGACAATGCAGTTTCTTATATTTACTCTATGCCTTAAAGGAAATCCAACCTTAGCTCCGTTTGAATATGATAATCCTTTGCAGCTCAGAATGTTTAAGTTGTTTTCAAATAGCTAATCCAACCATAGTTCCGTTTGAATACAATAACCATTTGCAGCTCAGAAAGTTTAAGTTGTTTTCAAATAGCTAATGCAGTTGAAAAGCTGATTCTTATCTTACATTTGAAGTTGTGATTTGATTTACTTTGAGCATGGGTTTAAGAGGAAATTTAATGAGGACACTGCTGCTGACAAGTGGAATTGGAGATAAAAGGGGCTGGTCATTGTAGATAACCCTTTTTATATATGCAAGTAATTGTCGATAACTTGAGTACACATTTGTAAGGAGGGAGTATTAGCCAATGTAGGTGAGACAAAAGATCGTCTTCTTATTCTTCTTCCTCGCCCTTTTACTGATTTATTTATTTCTTCTTCACAGAGACATATAGAGATAGAGTTGGTTCCTAGAGTTTGCTTCAGCTGTAACTTATGAGACTTGTCAAGCCTTGTTGTGCAAAGATAATTAGCATTGATTTTATATATGTTCATTGTGATATAATTAATGGAACTCTTCAGATACCACTTAGGAATGGAATGTGTATAATCGATTTATCAAGTAAAAGATTTGACACTAGATCGATTTGAAAAATATTTTCCTTTTATCTACAATCAGAAGATTTTAACAGCAGCATCCTTTTATCTTGAAGATTTCCCTCTGTTGGTTTATGTTAACTGCTGTTGTCCAATAGGTCTTTCAGAATATTGTTTTTGTTCTGCCAGAAACATGCATCAACAGTACAAGTAGTGTTTCCTTTTCTTGAAAATATTATCTTTGATGTATATCTAGTTCTTATTTCTTCAGTCATCATATATTGACTGCAAATGCTAAGGAGAAGATACATCGAGAATCATAATCTCTTGAACATGAAATGTTACTGATAAAGTCAATCAAATTAGACATTCATCAGGTCATTAGGAACTATAAATAAGAAGGGTTTGACTGCTCAAAACTAAGGCTTAATATGCTAAGAAAAATATGTCTGTTCTTGATGAGAAATTGCTAGCGTTAAAACCTTGAAATATCTCTAGAAGTCAGTATGAGCAAATACTGCTGCTGTGAGCAAATGATTTGAACATGGTTAGATTGAACTTAGTTCAAGTAAAATGTTGCTGTTGAATGTATGATAAAATTCTTTTGGATTTATAAGTAGGAAACTTTGTTATCTCATAGCCTGCAGGTTAGGTCATTAATTGCTAATCCATGGAACAGAATACTGCATTCTGGCTATTGTTATCCCCTCTTCTTTCTTGTATTTGTTTCCATTGTTTTATGTTTTTTTTACTCACTGCTGACTTCTATAGGTTGGTTTGTCTTGTATTTAGTTGTTCTAAATCTTGTGATTCTTGTCTTATTTTGAAATTTAATGTACCATCTAAGACAACATTTGTGTTAGTTTCTTAGTATATGTTAAAATATTTAATGGCTGATAATCTTATGTTTCAGCCAGGATGTTTCATAGGTTGAAAATTGTTGCTCCACTTTCACGCCATCTGCTGAATGATATCTTTCCATAGCGTTTATTGTTAGCTACAGATATACTTCTACAGATTTTACTGACTAGTGTTGTCAATTAGGAGAGATTAAGAAAGAAAACATGAGATAAAAGTTGAGGGTTTGAAGCAGATCAGGGGAAAGTAACCTTTGCTTGGCAAAGTAAATTGTAAATTAAGCTATTGTGTACTCCTTAATGTACCTAAAGAGTTTTCTAACGAAATTCAACATAATATAGGAACAAGACGAAGGAGTTATATCATGTCCTTTGCCTTTCTTCAACGAGCCTTCTTTTCTTGGGTCCATTGGAATAAAATGATAAGGGCCACTCCAAATTTAGTAACTTATCTTCAATTCCTCTCTCAACAAGATGTGAATTGTCTTTACAATGATAAGATATAGATGAATGAATTAATCTTATCTAGCTAATTGAAACTTCTGGATGAGTAGAAGTGGCTGAAAACCGTGCATGCTGTTAAACATCAATGTGCCTGGTTTTTTTTGTCACCTTTTGGTTTTTACCAGCCCTAACCAGCGATTGACTGATGCATATCACATTCAACAGAACCTATCGCATTTCAACTTTACCTGCAATATTTGCATATTTAATGTTTCAAAATGGTGTGTTTTGTCCTATATAATACAATTATTTATGCATGTGTATAAATCTGACATTAACTTTCACTGGCAAAACCAAAGAGGGAGTCACAATGCTCAAGTCTACTCAATATTTTGCATTCCTATAATTATGTTGCCCGATGAAAAGGGATGAGAAAAGTTGTATTTTTTTTTTTACCAATACATTAATCCTGATGGTTGAAATAATGTTTGTCAGAGTTACTAGTAAAATTCCACAGATCATCTGCATCAATCCTATGTGTTTCGTATGTGTAAATAGTGCTTTCTTCTTATTGGCTCTTTCTCTCTGACTGTAGGTCTTCAATCCCCATCTAAAGGTCTCGATAAGTTCAAATCTGTTTTCAAAATTTCCAGAAGAACCTTCAACTACATATGTTCACTTGTAAAAGAAGATATGATGGCTAAGCCAGGAAGTTATACATTTTCAAATGGTAAACCTATGTCTTTTGAAGATCAAGTAGCTGTAGCTTTGAGAAGGCTAAGCTCTGGTGAATCACTAGTGGCAGTTGGTGATTTGTTTGGGCTGCACCACTCAACTGTCTCACAATTGACCTGGCGCTTTGTGGAGGCCATGGAAGAAAGGGGTCTTCACCACCTGCAATGGCCTTCCACTGAAGCAGAAATGACAGAAATAAAGTCCAAATTTGAAAAGATTCAAGGTCTTCCTAATTGCTGTGGTGTGATTGACACTACTCATGTTATGATGTGTTTGCCTTCATCAGACCCTACAAGTAAAGTGTGGCTTGATCATGAGAAGAACCACAGCATGGTCTTGCAGGCAATTGTGGACCCTGAAATGAGGTTCAGGGACATAGTCACTGGGTGGTCAGGTAAACTTGAAGACTGGTTGGTTTTTCAGAGTTCAAATTTCTGTAAACTGTGTGATAAAGGAGAGAGATTGAATGGGAAAAAACTTGAGCTCTCTGAAGGATCAGAAATAAGGGAATACATAATAGGGGATTTAGGCTTTCCTTTATTACCTTATCTTGTTATACCTTACGAGGGGAAAGAACTACCGGAATTAAGGGCCGAGTTCAATAAAAGGCTTTCTGCAACTCGTCTGGTGGCACACAGAGCATTGGCAAGGCTCAAGGAAATGTGGAAGATCATCCAAGGGGTAATGTGGAGACCTGACAAACATAAGTTACCAAGGATCATCCTGGTTTGCTGCTTGCTTCATAACATTGTTATTGACTTGGAAGATGACGTCCAGGATGAAATGCCTTTGTCCCATGACCATGATTCAGGTTACCATCAAAGGATTTGTAGATCTGTTGACGTCAAGGGTGTAAACCTCAGAGATAATCTGTGTCTCTACTTGTCAGGGAAATTGCCACCATAACTATTTTCCATTTCTGATTCCTGATTGGTAGTTTTCTTCACATACAAAAGGTTTATATAGGATCATATCATTGAAGTTGGTTTTCTTTGCTTGATTTAAAATTGTAAAAGTTAACATAAGCATTGCATTTTTATACAATTCTCCTCAAATTATAAAGTGATGCTTGAGACATCATGGGAGAAACGTAGATTTTTTCCATCGTTCATACCATGTCCAGAGGTGATTGGACGCTGTGTCCTGTTTCTCCTCCGGTGTTCAGTATCTGTAAACCACTCTTACCAGATGATGATGACTGATCCTGATGAGATACCTTTGGCTGTAGGCTGGCTAGCTCGCTCTCTCCTTCTATCCTGATGTAAAGTCTCATTTTTTTTTTTTTTGGTCTCAGGTTCCCATTAGAAAACCCTTTTTTTAATTTATCCAAAGAAAGGAAAAACCAATCGCCTTAATCTCATTACTTGCCATCTTGGATCGATCCATCTGAAGAATATTTTAAGAGTAAAATCTTAAACGTATGTATTAATGTATCTATTATCCTTAAGCAACGCTTTAAATGCTCATGACCAAACCTATTTATTCATTAATTCCTTTTCCATTTTCGATTTTGTTATAATATAATAATAAATTTCAGAGGGATTTGATAATGTCAGCATCCTGGAAGTGCAAAAGGCATGCCTTGTTTCTTGTTAAAGAAAAAGCATTGGTTTTCAACTTTGACACGCTTCCAGCATATAAAGTATGAACAGCCAGACTTGACTTTATGTCAACAACTATATCAGTATCAGATATATATAAAGAAATTCCTCTTTTGCATTTTTCATTTTTCATTTTTTCGCCCGGATTTGGTAGAGCCAGCAGACACTTTCCCCAGGTAGAAGGTACCTTGTAATTGTACTTGACCCTGTGCCAGTATCAACTAATTAAAATATTATATTTAAATAATATACTCTGGAATTTATTTTTTATTTTAAGGATTTAAGTATGAAATACTAAAAAATTTTGAAATTTTGTAATGTTTTCAATGTCAACATTTTGACGTTGTCACCAAAATCATCTAGTTGTAATTCAGAATAATTGTTTTGAATATTTCCCTGTGCAGGTGGATTTGGGAAAAATCTTCTGATTCATTGGGTTTCATATTACTTTTTGTTTCCCCTGAAAATTGCTAGAAACTAGAAAGTACTTAATGTATACTACTTTTCCATCTATAAGTTTGACATTAATTATTAAGTATCAATCAAAGACTTGTCAAAAATTGCAGGAAGACACAAATAAATGGGTTTTCTAGTTTTCATATCATGTCAATATATATTATAATACGAATTATTTAAATTTTAAATATAAATACTACCTATTTAATATATATTATGATATAATTAATATATATAATTTATTTATTTAAATATGATATAAAGAATATAGATATATACAAATAGATATGATTAATATGAATATATACAAAAATATAATTAAAATAATAAATAATTATAAATTATCCATCATTTACAATTTAATAAATTTGACATATTAATAATATAAAAAATACTTAATATTAAAAAGTAAAAATTTTAATGCTCATTTAATATATATTTAATATATTTTTTAATTTTAATTTATATTATATACTATATTAATTTTTAATATTAAATTCAAAATGATAAACTATTAAAGATTAAAAATTAAATAATAATATATAGGACTAATATAAATATAAATATTGTATTTATGTTAAATTTATAATAATTATTAAATGAGTATCATAATTAAATATTTAAAATAATTTTTATATGATATTAAATAACTAATTAAGTATCATAATTAAAATATTAAAAATTAAAATCATCTTTATATGTTTATATTAACTTCAAATAAATATAAAAAATATATTAAACATATTAAATATATTAAACGTGTATTTATATGATAATATTAAATTAAACGTGTTATTCGTATCGTGTTTTGTATTTAAATGAGTCAATACATATACGACACTAATTATATCATGTCGAAATTTGTGTTGACATAAATAAATAAATAAATATTTTTATAAGACATATGATTTTTTGTGTCATTTTTATATCGTATCATCGTGACATATATGAAATTACCAAATCTAAACATAATTAATTTTTTGATCAGAATAAATTTAAAAATAATAAAGTTATCTCAGTTTTAAGATCAGAGTAAATAATTAATTTATAAATAAAATTTATAAAATTTTTTAGATTTTTTAAATTTATAAGTCGTCTGCCAATAAAAAATCATAAAAATTTATATTTGAATTCTTTACACTTAAACCCTAGAACTGAATCACTTAGTTCAACCCGGGAATCATGAACATAGAGTAACTCAGTTTTCATTTGAACGATCTAGAGTCCAGCTTTGAAACGATGTAATGGTGTTAATTAATTTTATGTCCCTTTTTTTTGGGTATCATAAACCAGTCGATAAGCTTGACAGAAAGTTTGAATTTTGGATTCAAGCCAGGCAGCCGGTAAAGAACGAAAATATTTTATTTTGAATCATACATTACTCATGTGAGTCATGTCCTCTCAAATCCTTTACTTTTTATATGTATTTTTTTTATTAATCTTAATTATTAAAATTTAAAATTTTCGCCAATGCGTTCAAACTCATAAATTTTTTCAAACGACATAAAAATTAATTAATAGAACGAAAAAACACAAATTTCAAATGCGAAAAATCAAATAATTTATTAATAATAACCACAGTCATATAATTTATTAATAAAATATTAATTTTTGATTTTTTTAAATATCAAATAACCTAACAACATTATTATTTTTTAATTTGTGGCATGATTAATGATTATTCAATTATTAGCACTTCCTATGTGAAAGGTTTGAAAATTAGGCTCATAGAATCATCCAAAATTAAAATAAAAGTCACTTTGATGAGTGGAAAAGCTATAACATTTAAAAAAAAAAAGGTAATGTTTAACATCTTAAGTTGTCTTTTTTTTCTTAATTACTTTGAATATGGGACAAGATTCTAGAGAAAGAAGCTTCTATAATTTGGTCATATATAAATTACATAACCTAATTTGAAATTCACAAACTTGGAAAGAAAATTCAACATATTCCATTGAGAAAAATGCTATTAAGTGCAGCAGTTTTTATAGAATTATAATAATGATGATGACGACTGACTATGTACAAAATTCAAAGAAAATCTCCAACAAATTTTGTTCAAATAACTACAGCTTGTTTGCAGTCAACTGATCCAGAAAGTACAGTTGAGGAAATCTTTTTTTTTTAACTAATAATTAGTGATGCCAGCTTTCAGCAGCAAGTTCATGTTTTACTCTTCTAATGTATTTTTAATTGCTTCCCATTAGAATAAGCCATCGTAAACATATATTATTAAATTAATTTAAAAATAAATATAATAATTTATGTATATTTATATTAAATATATATGAAATATAAAAAATTATTATATAATATAAACTATATTTTTTAATTTTTATTAAATTTTAATAAAAATTATAATAAAATTAAATAATATATTTTATATTTTATATTGATATAAATTATAATAAGTAATTTATGTAAAATATAATATAAATATATCAATTATTAATTACAAAAACTATGAAAATTTAGAAAAAGTGAAGGAACAGAAGAAGTGAAGTGTGAAAATAGGAAAGTCACCTTTGAGGACAATTCAAGACCGCGTCGACTTAGGAACAAGATTCTTTTGATTTGTTGTATAACAATCAAAACAGTATTAAAGGTTTCTAGAATGTCAGAGAATTAGGAGGAAGACTCCTGCTGAGTTGCCTCTAGCGACTCTTTCTTATCATGTTCATATTGCTCAGCTACGCGGTGACGCTAGCGTGCTGAAGATGGCGGCTTCAAGTTCCATTTCCACCCATAAGACTTACACATATTTACAACAAAACCCAGTTTAATCCTCGAGAATCGTTTGGCCAAATCCGTCATTTTGACCTGCCAAGTTCACACTCGGCACACACTCGGCAGCTCCTAGCTATCAATATAAGTACAAACTTTCTCGTTCATATCATCCAAGTTTCCTGTCAGATACTCAGCAGCAGCACACACGGAAAAGCTTAGCTTAAATTTTCACTTTTCAGAGCTTCAAAGTTCAGGCTTTTAAAACAGTTTTTAAATTACTACAATGAAGAGAGGCAGAGAAGTTGGGGAAATTGAGGCTATGGCTATGGCAAATAGCTTGATGTTGCTATCCAAGGTTGGCCAAACCGACCCATCAAAGCATTACCAGGGTCGTGTCTTTGCATGCAAGACGTGCAACAAAAGGTTTTCATCTTTCCAAGCACTCGGAGGCCACAGGGCGAGCCACAGGAAGCCAAGGCTAACAGGAGGATCGGGCCTTCAGGAGATCCCTGTTTCACCTAAGAAGCATAAGACCCACGAGTGTTCCATCTGTGGCCTGGAATTTGCCATTGGCCAAGCTCTTGGGGGTCACATGAGGAGGCACAGGGCTGCCTCAAATGAAGGGCTGGTGACTCGGGATCTGTTGCCAGAGATGAAGAAGTCGAGCGGTGCTGAAACTGCTTTGTGCCTGGATCTGAACCTCACACCTTGGGGAACTGATTTGGAGTTGAAGCTGGGTAAGGTGGCTCCGACCCCTGTTGTTCATTGTTTCATATAGGATCTTTTCATTGTTCTGGTTGTAAAAAATATGGTTCATGTTTACCCATTTTTTGTGGGGATTTTTAGGCAAATTTTCTTTACATTTTTGCTTATTGTATACATGTATAGGCGGTGAAGAACTTAATTTCTTGATTCTTTTTAGTACGTAGTAGCAGCTTATAATTTGTTCTGTAGGCTCGGTTCTCCTCCATTTTACTATATATATTGATAATTTTTTTTATTTTATATATTCCAGTTTCAGTAATTAATTGCTTTAAATGAATTGCCAAACAAGGTGTTAATTTTGTTTTGACATATAGTATATAAAGTTATTCAACCATATATCCATAATATACTACTGGCCATTTCTTCTAAATCTTTATAACATATTTTTTTTATGTTATCGTTGGGTACTTCACTCGTAAAGACTTTTTAAAAAAGCTATAACAAAAAGAGAAAAAAAAAAAAGTCTCAACAATAATTAAATTAGGTAACAAATTATTTATAAAATTGTGAGGAATTTTCTAATTAGATAAACTCTAATTTAACAGTTACCAACCAATGAGACCCATCCACGTTTCGGTTCCCAGTGGATACTACCATACAAGATTACAATCCTCTCTAATGGATTCTTAACCAATGGCTCTTAAAATGTTTGTAGAACAGCTTTCGCCATATCATTGGCCCACGTAGCTGACTTACAGCATTTGAACCATCAAAAACTCGACAAGTGTCGATTGTTCTAATCGCATATTAGCACCGCCCGTTCAATATTCTCTTTAAAGCCAAGAAAACCGAAAGTGACGAAACCCTCGCTTTGATGAAGTTGGTTGCAATCGATCAACGGTCAAGATCCATATTCGGAATACAGGTGTACGTCAAAGATGAAAGTAGCCATGACGTATGATCGATCAAGCAGTTGTAGCCCACGTTTCGATATTCTTTTCACGAGCAAAAATCCGGTGCTCCTCACACACAAAGTCAAAATTAACTCTCTTTCTTTTTTTTTTTTTCTCTCAATTCTGCTCGCCCGTAAATTCATCATAAAAACGAGCGGCGATCGACCGCTGCCTTCGGTTTTCCGGCGATAAAGAAAGGTAAGAATCGTTGAAAATTAAGGAAAAGAAAAAACTTTTGCTTTGAAATTAATTTTAGGGTTCCGCTTTTTTATTGGTTTGATAAAGCTTTTGTTTTTAGCCATTTCGTTATCTGGGTTTTTAGGGATTTTTCTTGTTAATAAATTTGCAGGGAAACTTTGGATGTGGACGATGTAAGCTGAGTTCACGCGCTTTGATTGAGAGCTAAAGGATAAGAAGAAGAAGAAGAAGAAAAGGAAAAGTGCTTTGTCTTCAGTTGAAATGGTAAATTTTTTTGAAGTTAGTTCGTGATAATAAAATGGGTGCTTTTTATTTTCTTTTCTTTTAGTTAAATGAATGTTCCATTTTTGAAAATTTTGCTGAAATAGTTGAGTTTAGTTATATTGTTGGATGGTCAACAATGTATATATAAACAAAGGAAGCCTTCTGGATGGGGTAAAATATGTCCAACAGTCAACCTGGAGTAGAGTTGAACTAGGCAACTGTAAACGCTTGTCTCAAGCCAGGGTTGGCGCAAGTGGTTAAGGCTGGATGCAAAGTACCCAGGTTCAAACCCCAGAGTCCCCTCTTGGTAGGCAATCTATAAGTCCGAAAAGTCCCAAAGAATTTGTAAATCCTACTGTGGGTTGACGGCTTACTCTGGCCTTGGAGATGGGGCAACCTCTCCTGCTCCTAAGCTTTTTTGGAAAAAAAACAAAAAAAAAACACCTGTCTCAAGAAATGTACATTATGGTTCTATTTTTTAGAATGGTTTAGACACAACAATATTTGTTACTTTGAAAAGGATTGAAGTTTTTTTCTTCCCCAGGTTTTGTTGGTTAATGGATTTTTGAAGTATTACAAACAAGTGACTTCTGAGTGATTGTTTCTGGCAGTCTTTTCAGAATAAAAGTTTTTGGATGGCAAAGGGTCCTGCGTATGTATCTGACGGGAATGCAACATTTAATAATCCTTCCATAATTGAAACCAAGCGATCACATAATTGGTTTGTTGATGCTGAACCACAGCTGTTCCCCAACAAAAAGCAAGCTATACAAGCTACAAACAACAAAACAAGTTCTGGAATATCTGATTCAAATGTTTCCCCTTGGGAAAACGTTTCCAGCTTTCAATCAGTTCCAAGCCAATTTATTGATCGGTTGTTTGGCTCTGAATCTGAAAGGTCAGTCAATTTCAGTGAAAGGAACATATCTCCCATTGAAGCTGATAACATTAGACGAAAAGGCATTGAAGATCATTTTGGTGAAGATGCATCTGTTGGTTTGTCGATATCTCATTCCATTGAAAGTCCTGAAACATGTTTAAATTATGGTGGAATTAGAAAAGTAAAAGTCAATCAAGTTAAGGACTCTGATAACAGTATGCATGATCCAAAGGAACATAGTTTTAGTAGGGAAAATAACAGTGACAGGTCTACAATTGAGGCCTATAAGAGAGAAAACGAAAGCAGTTTCATTTCAATGGGGCATAGCTATGATAAGGAGTATGACAATGTTGTAGTAATGGGTAATACCTATAACAGGGGAACAGCAACTACTGCTTATGGTGAGGGCAATGAAATTCCCGTATCAATGGGCAACACTTACGGTAAGGAGGATGCCAATATTCTTTCTTTTAGTGGCTTTCATGAAGAACATGAGATTATCCCTGTGGACAGGCATCTTGGTAGCTTTGAACCATCATACAGTCAATCTTCCAATCCAACATCAGTAGCAGCTTCAGAAAAACAGCTGGATTCATCAACTGCTGGTGCAGTTGCAGGTGCTACTCAGCCTGCTAAATTAAGACCTGAATCGGCTTCAAGGACTAAAGCAGAGTTCAAATCATCAAAGAAAGAAGCTCCAAACAGCTTCCCTTCAAATGTCAGAAGTTTGATATCAACTGGTATGCTTGATGGTGTACCTGTGAAGTACATTTCCTTGTCACGGGAGGTAACTCTGTTGGTTCTTTTCTAATCTATTTCTTTCGTTGCAATTGATTTCTACCTTATGGTTTTATCCCTGTATGTAATAAGGAGCTTCGTGGAGTTATAAAAGGTTCTGGCTATCTTTGTGGGTGTCAATCATGTGACTTTTCTAAGGTAAGCCATCCTGTAGTTTCTAAATTTGCTTGCTAAACTTCTCAGCCCCCCATCAATGAATTATATGATTGTGCATTAGGTGCTGAATGCTTATGAGTTTGAGCGCCATGCTGGTTGCAAAACAAAGCATCCAAACAATCACATTTACTTTGAGAATGGAAAGACTATCTATCAGATAGTACAAGAATTGAGGAGCACTCCCACAAGCTTGTTGTTTGATACGATTCAAACTGTGTTTGGTGCCCCAATTAATCAGAAGTCCTTTCGCATTTGGAAAGGTAATTAGATTTGATTAGCAGCAAAGCTGCCTCTCTGCTTTTTATTACCTTGGGTAATGACCGTGTAGTTATGAAAGATCTGTATTTTTGTTGCCCTGAGATTTATTTCCCACCCTTTCAGAATCATTTCAAGCGGCAACTCGCGAGCTTCAGCGCATTTATGGGAAGGAAGAACTAAACATATAAGATGAATTTTCTGAACAGGTTTGTCAGAATGTAAGATAGAGCAACAAATATCTTTCCCGCGTGATGTGCATAAAAAAAATGTTTTAGTTCTTGGTAAATAACGTACCCTGTAGATTTTGGTTGGGCAACTGATGCTTTCCATTCATCTCAAGGCTCAATCAATTTAAGACAATGTGTTGTAGGCATTTAGTCATAGAGACGAGGTGTTTGGGTACATAACTAAGTGTAAATAAGAATGTGAAAAGAGTTCATTTGCTTATGTATTTAGGTTTTATCTATAGGGCTTTATCGGATGCTAACGTATCAGCTTTTACACGATGGTATTTGTTCTTTGTTAATGTTCTGAATATATAGAGAACCCACTTCCATTTCTTTTCCTACGTCTTCAACAAATGAACTAGTGTTGCAAGCAGCCAGACCTTTGTCTTCCAACATGGTATGTTCTCAATATAACACACTGTTTGCCAAAAGACAAATTATCCAATTATGAAACGACAACATTTCACACACTAAAACAAGGTTAAAAAGAATGACAAGAAGAAAATATAAGCGCCCATCATCAAGTCACCACGATTAGTTTTTTTTTCCCCCTTCAGGTTGAGCCACAACAAGCCGATCTTTGTGCAGCTTGACCAGGCCCAGCTCCCTGGTCAGGTTGATTGATTTTGATTGTTGAAGGCTGCAACCATAGAAAAGCTTTCAGTAGTTGCAAGATAGGTATGGTTTCTAATTATAAGAGCCTGATTTTCATTTCAAGAAGTTTTGCTTGAGACAAGGCAGGCAATTTGAATACCTCAGCCCTTGAGTCAGTGTCGGCAAGTCTTTGCTTTATGTCCCTGGCAATTGAAAAGAAAACTTCCTCCACGTTTAGATTTGTCTTTGCACTCTGCATGAGAAAGTTTCTTTCAGGATACGGTCTCTCCAATTCAACCAGAAACCAGAATCAGCAAGCATTACTTACAGTTTCAAAAAATTTGATTCCATACTCGTCAGCAAGTGCTTGTCCCTTTGAGGTAGGCACAGCCTTAAAAAAGAGAAAAATGTAGGGTAAGACGAGAAAATAGATGGCATCCATCCACAAAATGCAAAGGGAGACATGGAAGCCAGGGACGTGGGTGTAATTAGTGGTTTTGTATCATCAATTTGATTAATCAGTTGCAGATCCCCTCCATACCCCACTTCCAAAATGAAAAGATTCGTTTTGGAATGAGTACTAAGCGAAATTTATCTTTGCTTTCGCTGTACAAATGCACAGATCCAACAGTATACTTAGCAGAGCAACTTGGATAAGATGATAAACTTCTAACAACATGCAAAGCAATCTAAATGAGGATAGAATCATAGACATCCTCTACTGAAATCTTATGGGGAGCGGAGCAGGATACCCTTTTGCTTTCATCCATGTCTGCCTTGTTCCCTACCAGTATCTTGTTAACATTATCTGATGCATGCTGTTCGATGTTGCGAATCCAATTCCTAATATCTGCAGGTAGAGAAGCCTCTCTATAAGAGATTTAACAGAGAAACAAAGTACTATAACAACAAAATGAACAAAGCAAAGCCTTTAACTGGTCAATAAAAGGAGACTAGCAAGTCTGGCAACATTGAGAAAAACATATAAAAATGTAAGGCCAAACAACAAAACTCAGAATCAGCTATTAAGTGAAAGCAAGAGAAGAAGGGATTTACTGTTGAAGGATGATTCATCTGTGACATCATAGACCAGCAAGATGCCCATGGCTCCACGATAGTAAGCTGTTAAAAACATTGGAGAGATTGCATTAAGAGAAACCATTTGGATGAATGCGAAATGTGGAATATATATCAATTTTAGAGAAAAAGTCCAAACAAGATTTAGGTTAACAAATATCAAGTTAATAAGAACTTCATTATTCTATAGGAGAATTTAAGATTTTCAAAAGACCTGAGAGATATGCCCAGACCACCAAGCAGCATGCCACAAAATGGAGAAAAACTCCCATAAAGCTAGAATAAGATAAAGATGTATCAATCTCCAGGCTGTAAGCCAGTAACCTTTTGCATCACAACTTGAAGATGCCTAGTGCCAAATTGTAATGCTTGTAAGGCAACTTTTTAGCAGCCTCACTAATGCTAAGTACCCAGAAGGTGACAGCTAATTGAAGAGCAGACCTAAGAAGTTTAAGAATGATTTCGGTGATTATTAGCATGCATGGCATGCTCATAAACAACAGATCAAGGCAGTCATTGGCTGTGGAAGGAATTGTTTGAGGGAATTTCTTAGTGATAAGACAATGTATTACCCATTGTGTATGATCACAATGATTTCCAGTTACAAACTGACTTGAAAATCTTGCCTAAATAGGCTAACAGACAACAGTTAATAGGCATCAGGGTCTTTGCTTTAGCTTCTCCTGTAGCATGTGCAGTTTTAGACCTTTGGTTGAACTTGCTTTCAGGCCTCCTCGACAGGTCAGTTGCTCCTCACACATTCAGCCAACAGATTTTTCCAGCAGATCACTGCCTTTAAGCCATCCTCAATAACACACAAAACTGTCCATCTAGCCAAAACACAAAGTTTCTGTTCCATTCAATAGTTTACAAGAGTACATATCTTCCAACAAAAGGAACCTGGTTTCCTTTCTTTTTCCCAAATTTGGAAAAACATGGAAGAATTTCAGCTAAATTGGTCTCAGCCTGGAAATCTCCCATGCAGATGATAGCAATGTCATGATTCACCCACCATATCATTTTCCTCAAGCACAAAACAAGTAACACCGCCATCTCATTCCTTAAGATTGAAAAGCCAGAAATATGAGGACTAACATACTCACCAGTTGTGATTGTCCGGAACCGCTCCTGTCCAGCTGTATCCCAAATTTGGAGCTTAATCCGTTTACCATCAAGCTCAATGGTTCTTATCTTAAAATCAATACTGCACATGGAAGAATCACATTTTCCAAGTCATAAAATTTAAACTCGATACAAAACTAGATAGAGGAGCTCCATTCTAAAAATACACACCCAATGGTGGTGATAAAACTGGTTGTGAAGGAACCATCTGAGAACCGTAAAAGAAGGCAACTCTTGCCAACACCTACATATTAAAATAACAGAAAACATTAGAATCCTTCTAGCAGCCTTAAAATGCATATCAAAGTTATGAAGGCATCTAAATTTCAAAGTTAAAAATAAAAAAATCATGAAAAGATATATATTTTGAGGTCAAATCTTGAAAACAGATTAATTAAAAATTTATGAAATCATCAAAGCATCAAATTAAATAACCATAACTAATCACAATTAAAGTACATAAAGCTAACTGCTATTCCTAACCAATCATGTTTAGCAAAATTGAAAGAGAAAGAAAACTAATTTAACCAATAAATGCTCCAGAATTTTGCTTCTACTACGTTCTTTGACTCAAAACCTAAAAATTAGTCCCAATGAAACTCATCCAAAATTCGTAGGACAATCGGAGAAACATGAAATAAGTGATAATGTGAACTAAATCTACTTGCATGGCTAATCTTTTCGAGTAAATGCACGGAAAATAAATCTAAGCTAGAGGATTAAGATCCGGAAAATTGAAGATCTGTTTGGTTGCAAGGAAAAAACAGGAGAAAAAAAGCGAGAGAAAATTGGCTTTAGAGATCAACTTACCGCTGTCGCCGATCAAAAGAAGTTTTATAAGGTAATCGTAATCAGCTCTAGCTCTTGTCGGTGGAGCAGCCATTGACAAATTTCACCAAACAAAGAGAAACTCTCGAATCTGCATACACAAACAAAAAGAAAAAAGAAAAATCAGAACCAAAATCACCATTCCACACTCGAATCCACGTAATTAAATAAAAATTTAACAAAAAAAAAAGTACCGGATCGGAGATTGAAAAAAATATTTTCCAAAAAAAAAAGTCTCCAAAAAGTCAAATCTTAAAGGCCATGGCAATTATAATTTCCAGTTCTTATCTGTTTGGTTGCTTTCTTTTAGTTTTTTTTTATTTTTTTAAATTATAAATGATAAAAAAAAATAAAGAAAATTGGCCACCTGCAAAATAGAGCTTCTCCGAGGAAGATGAGTTGCTAAAATGCGCAGTGTCCGCTTTCTCTTCCTCTATTTCGTAATTTTTTCTGGTGCGCCAATCACCCCCTGCGCACGGTAGCAAATCCACAATTAGCAATGCAAAGAGAAATAGAGAAAGACTTTCCCTTTCCTAAGTTCTCTTTTGTTGATTTCTTCTTCAGATTGCTCTCTCTGCTATGCGGTATAGAGCAGTGAATAAAAAATCCGAGTTTTTCTCTAACCAACCAAATGACAACGCGTGGCAAATGCGTTTGATATTCTGGCAGTTTCCACGTGGCTCATATTAACTGATTGGTTGACTGGTATGGGTCATAGGGGATAGGAGCTGGAGGAGTGAGTTGGCATCGTATCATCACTTAACAACTGGCTGTTGCCGGTTGGGTTTAATGCAAAACATCCAGTGGTTCGTTACACAACAAAAGAATTTGTACTCAGTTAATCAAACGGCTGGGAAATTCACAGTAGTTGCAGTGGGTCCCTCTTGATTAATGGTTGTGGCAACCAAGTCAAGCTGTCCAAGACAACTTTGACCAGATGGGATTGGGTTTCTAAAAGAATATACCAATATATCAATGTTAGACGGTGGGACCAGTTCCTTCCTGTTTCTGCCTTGTTTGTTAAGGAAAAACAAGCACTTGTCTTCAATTATGTCTGTCTCCGCTTGTATTTATGGTAAATAGACTTGACCTTGCTCAACTGTTTTTTGTTACTTGTGAGTGAAATATCGAGATTCCACTCAAAATTATGAAAGTTGGAATTCAATTATCATTCCAAAACTTATTACTATTTTCAAATGATAAATTAGATAAGATCACGAATAAGAATTATAAGATAAAATGTTTATTATGTCTAAATTAATTAATCAACGATCAACTTAATTAAAATTTGATTAATATAATTATATTTTAAGATCATTTAGACAATTACATAACTTATTTTAAAAAAATAACTTACCTTTAGTCAGAGTAAGAATTTATCCAAAATTATTTATCATTCAATTTATTTGAAATTATTAAATATAACTTATATTTATTTGAAATTATTAAATATAACTTATATCTGCTCATAATTTTTTTTTTAAATTTCACGTCTATTATTAAATATAACTTATATATACTCATATAGACCTTTTCTAAATTTTACGAAAATATTTCATTAACCATCAATCAATTGTTATATTTAAATCACCATCCCTCGATGTCATACATAAAATAATTAAAAGGTTGAATACGTAAGAGAAAATTCTACTACACACTCTAAGCTTTCTCTCGTTGAAATTTCATCCTCACACTTCATCACTTCTATATCTTTCCTTTCTTATTTCTTTATTTCAAATACAATATTGACTGAGCGATGAAGCGCACCTAAAATAACAATTTTGACAGCCCTATATTCTTTTACTGCAGATTCTATCTATCTTTCCGTCTACCTCACTTCACTTCCTTCTGACTGTGTTCTTGATTCTGGAGTGCATCCCAAAATTCTAATTCAGCGCTTTTCTGACTATACTCTCTTTTTCACAAATCAGATGTGTTATCCTCCGAAGTAACGTACAGATTCTAACTTGCCAATCCAGAAATTCCTCGACACAATCTCTTTGTCTAAACAGGATGACATGGCAGAACGCAATAGGAAATTCCAAAGGCTGCAAATTGCTACAATATATGACGACTTGTTACATCCCCACATTCCTCCAAGTAAAGAAAACTAAAGTTGAAGGGAAAAGATATATGGGCCAGAAAGTTAATGCTTCAGGCATATGCTTGGAAGATACTCTCCCCACAAGCCACAACAATTTCCTTTTAAACACAGAAGCCTTTCTTTTGCTCATTCTCTTTGAGAAGCCATCCATGGCCTCCATCTAGGTGTCAACTGCAACTTCCACATGATGGTATCAACCACGTACGGAAACGGCGGCAGTGACAGTGGGATCAACGGTGATGAGGAGGATGGTGATGAACATATAAATGAATCATGATCGTTGCATTGCAGCAGGTGTTTATTCACTTGGGCAACCAAAGACCCTTTGGCAGTTTATCAAGAGTTGGGACATTATGGCTCAAGCATAATGGTAACATATTTAGCAGTTGAGTTATTATTCTAATTCAAAGGTAACGTTTTCCTGTTTTCTTTCTACTGTATGCTTGAGCTTATAAAATGAAACATTAATGGTTGAAACTAGTATTATTACAGCTTGTTTCTATCTCTTATTTTGCTTGAATTTTTGTTGGTTTATGTTTTGGTCGCTCGTTTGGTTATTGTCCTCAAAAGCATCCAAATTATGCCATGCTTATTTGGAGTTTTTCTGTATGTTTTGTCTATTCGGCAATATGTCGTAATTTTTCTTCATCATCCATCAAAATGGATTACAATTTTATGCATATGTTAGGGCCACAAGCATGAAAAAATGTGCTGAATCGGTGGCACTTGATCATTAGTTCGTTCCTAGTAGATCGACAAGATGAGGAGATCAAATACTTAATGAGATGCCCAAATCTCATGATTTTGCTGTATACTTTTTCTCAACAGCAACAGATTTATCTAGATTTTGACAATTTAAAATACAATGCCATGACATAAATATAATACAAATAAAAAGTATGAAAATGATATGATTTAAAATTTTAACAATAATTATATATGAATTTAACAAAAAAAAAAAAAAAAACACATTTCATATTTTCATGTCGATACGAATTTTCATACAATTTTTGTATAAAACATGATGCGAATAGACAAATTTCAATATTGTACATGACAAAAATATACAAATCAGGTCTAGATTTATCCAAATAAAATTTTATGAAAAAAGCAGGGAATAAAAATTTAATCAGCAGAAACTTCCAAATTGAAAAACTACTTCAACTGTCTGATGACAAAGGCAAACAAACTATGTCCAATGGAAAACCAACAATTCATGATCTCAAACATCATAACCAAAACATATGGATAATCCCCCCAATCTACAAAAATAGAATTGTACCAACACTGATGGAGGAAAACTACCAAGTTCTAAATGAAGAGAAATCAAGAATGAAAATCTCAACAATTTGTGTCAATAGAAGAAACCAAGTACTTTTCCACCGACATTCTTTCTTCTAGCTTCTTCATGGTCCATGATGCCAGCAGATGTGGTCAGCACAATATATCCAAACTGCAAGAAGAAAACACATAAATCACAAAAGATAATAATCTCATTTCAATTGATTAAACATAATAATAATCTTATGTCAAACATAAAATCTTATCTAGTGGGCTATGATAACGAATACAAGAAATGCCACTCAACAAAAAACAAGATAATGATGCATAAATCAATGTCTGTTTCCAACTTCAAATGTTTTTGTTCATTTCTTCTGATAAAATATTCTTAATCTTAGCAAATACTAATTCTTATGGAAGTATAATACACAGAGAAGAAACATCAAAAGTGTCTAAGCTAACCTGTCTCGAAGGAAGTAGCCTAGCAGTCCAACCCTCAATCTCTTTGACTCCAACATCAAAACGAGGACTAATCACCCCACACTTGTTCAGCCTCCCGTTCAGTTCAACCACAATTTTGCCAGCTCTGTGATCGTCAACATACTCAAACTCTCCGATGTAACCTGCAGTTGCGATCAAAAAGTAAACGTATCCGCATTTTCATATTACTATGACAAGGTTAAATCTTTAACAAAAAAAGGGGGAGAATCTGGCTAACAAACCATGCTTCTGCATGACCAAAAGGAACTTGATGATCACTTTTGAGGAAGGCCTGATCATGACCTGCCGTTTGCCCCTTTTCTCTGCATTGTACATGCTCTTGAGTGCATCATTCAAAACGCTGACCCTCACCATCCTTCCAAATCCAAGCTGCAGCAGATTTTACAATGAACTACAAATAAGCTTTTATAGTTTCAGAAAAAAAAAAAACAGTCCAAAACTCACATAAAAAAGCAGATCATTCTTGTAAGTTACTTGAATTTTCTTCTAGCAAACACAAATGTCCCACAATAATATCCCTCTGACTCACTCTCTTATTGAAACAAATGAAAAATGCCATTCCAACCAAAACCCAACTTTTTTCCCGGATATTACAATTATTCCAAGCCATTTTATGCTAACATAAAGGGAAAAAAAGGATAAAAATTAAGGGCACCAAACATTTGGGAATATATAGCAACAATTGATTCTTGACTTTGCCCAGAAACCCAAAAATCTTTTCGGTTTCTTTTTTGGATACAGAAAATCAATAACAAACCATCAATAACACAGAAAATACAAAGATAAATATAACAAAACCAGGCCGATCACAACAGCAAATAAAAGTTGCTATCTGATTCAATTTGAAGAGCTGAAAATATAAAAGCTTTAAGAGCTGTTGGATCTAAATTTTGATACGAAAATGACTGATTACCTGAAACCAAAAATGGCGGCTACGTCTGGGCTGTTTGAGGAGAGTGGAGAGACGAAAAAGCACTGCTAGGGTTTTGCCGTTTTGGTTTTTGGGGGGCGAGGGAAAAGCAAATGACTGAACCCTGAAGGCTATTCTTTTTAGTGCTCTCGAGGGTCCGCAGTTACGAAAACGCCCCTTGGGGTTTATGCGGCCCTTCTAAAGCCAGCTGCTGGATTGACAGAACCATGCCGAAAAGGCCCAATTAATTAATCACTTTCTCTTTAGGCCCAGTCAGATGTGATGTGTTGGTTCCGAAGGGTCTGCTATTCTAAAAGCCAAGTCCGATTCTAGCCCGGACTTAAGTTTACGTATTTTTCAAGAGAGTTTTTTTTTTTTTAATACATTCTTTGTGAAATTCTTTAATTTCACGTACAGCGACAAGAAACTGATACTTATTTTATTTATTTTTTAATATATTTTAAGATATATATATTTATATCATTCTATTAATTTTATTATAACAATATTATCTAAAAGATTTGAAGGTTATGCAAAGGTTTAAATAATTCGTATATACATGACATATTTATTTTATATAAAATATATTAAAAAATTATTATATTATAATTTATGTTAATATGTTAAATATAAAATATTTTTTAATTTATATAATTTTTATCAAAATTTTAAATTATATTTTTATATATTTTTATATCATATTTAAATTTATTAAATTTAAAATGTATCAATCTCTTATATATCAACATTAAAAATGATAACGATTCGAATTAAATCAAATTATATTTAATTTATTAGATAATATATAAAATTATAATTTTTTACAATTGGATTTGAATCAAAATTTATCGATTTGATTCAGTTAATTAATTTTTAATTTTTATATTATTTTAATATAATTTATAATATATAAATAAATTTAAATATAAAATAATTATTTTTATTTTATAAAATTTAAAAAATATATAAAAACTAATAAACATATATAATTTAATTTTTTTATATTTTATATTTTTATTTTTAATTTAAAATTTAATCCAAACTAAAATAATAATAATAATACAAATCAAATCCAACATTATAAATTCAAATAAATTATTTTTAATTTTTTTCCCACTCCCAATCGTCACTACCCATTGTCATCGACCTTCGCTTCCTTATCACGTCAGTAGTCCCAATCGATATAAATAATCAAAATTCCATCTTATCCATCAAATTACAAAAAGATATTCTTCACCCTTTTATTTAAAAAGTAAATAATGTATTTTCACTTAAATTTATATTAAAAATTAATAATTTTAAATTAAAAATAAAAAATAAAAATAATTTAATCAAATATTAACCTTTAATTTAAGTAAAAATTCATTACAAAGTAATAAAATTTTTAATAATTTCTAATTAATAGAGAGAAACTTTTTCACGTCAATTTCCTCTTCCCGTCAACCAAGATCCAACAACGCAAGACAATACCAACTCAGCAATCCGCGTCACAAAAATAGATCCCGAATATCCAAACCATCTGCACCGTCAATTCACTCCAACAACTCAGCTCTATCTAACGGTTCAAATCGACCACGTCATGGATCCTTGTGAAACTTCAACAAACCAATAACCGCTCCCCTTTCTGTCTATATAAATACCACCGAACATACTCTCTCGAATGTATCATCCTAATTTGCCTTCGATTACAGTCCTCTTATCTCTTTTTTCTTCCAAAAGCCAAACGAGCCCTAACCCTTCGAAGAAAATGGCACCGAAGGCCGATAAAAAGCCGGCAGAGAAGAAGCCTGCTGAAGAGAAGAAGACGACGGTAGCCGAGAAAGCTCCGGCGGAAAAGAAGCCAAAGGCTGGCAAAAAGCTTCCTAAGGAAGGAGCAGCGGCCGGAGACAAGAAAAAGAAGAGAATTAAGAAGAGTACGGAGACCTACAAGATCTACATATTCAAGGTCCTGAAGCAAGTCCACCCAGATATCGGGATCTCAAGCAAGGCTATGGGAATTATGAACAGTTTTATCAACGATATCTTTGAGAAACTTGCGCAAGAAGCTTCAAGGCTCGCAAGGTACAACAAGAAGCCCACGATCACTTCCAGGGAAATCCAGACTGCTGTTAGACTTGTACTTCCTGGTGAGCTTGCGAAGCACGCTGTTTCTGAAGGGACCAAAGCCGTTACCAAGTTTACTTCTTCTTGAAAGGGGAATTTGTGGTTACGCTGTTAGGGTTAGGTTTTTTAAATTAGATCGCTTGTGTTTGTATTTTCAATATGGATCTGTGGTATCCTGATTTGAACATGGTAGAATCGATTGCAATTAAATACTACAATTTGGCTTAATTTCTGATTCTTGAATAATTTCGGAGCTCTTACTTGGTGATAAGGTTTAAGGGCAAGTTTAAGAATTTTTATTGTGGATTTCAGTCATGAAATCATTGAAAAGAAGCGAATCCGATAAAGTCGTAAAGCGAACAGAGCACTTTAACTCAAAAGCTTCGGAATTCGGCTACATTGGTCGAAATTGCACATGGCTCATTTATTTTCCAGCTTGATGAACTGTACCCTTGGCCCTTCCAATGATGAAAAGCGTTCGGAATTCTGCACTTTTCACTGAATACTGCTAATGTAACGTTTGGAGTACTGACTAAGAGAATCGAAAAAATCACAACTAAAAATTAAAAAGAAAACCAGCCACAGTTCCATCTTTCCTTCCAGAAATTGCGTTCTTAGTGAACTTTGATTTTAATTCTTGTGTAGACTTCTTTTCCTGGGATTCAGTTGTCCTCAACTGGATGTTTTCCATTTTAATTCAGTTGTCCCAAAACCCGGGTTCCATTACAATGGAGCATCCTATTCCTGCTTTCCATTTTGATTGAAGTAATTTTATTTGGAATATAATTCAGTATTTGAGAAAAAAAGATCAGTTGGGTGGATGCTTCAAGTAGAACCTGAAAATATGTTAATCCTTTTAACGTAGTCATTCAGTTGATTTGATTAATTTTGATCTGAATTATTAATTTTGATCTGAATTATGTTATTTTATTTTTATTAATCAAATTAAATTTTTTAATTTAAAAAATTAATCGATCAAAATTAATTCGATCAATTCAATTAATTTTTTTATTAATCAAAAAATAAAATAAAATAAAATATATTATATTATATTTTAAATTCTTATTCTTTTATATGTAAAATAAATTAAATAAAATCATTCAACAAAAATATTCAAATATCAAAATATTAAATTAAAAATTCTAAAAACTAGAAATGAAATGTAAATTTTCATATATTTTTAGTTTTATATATAGATTTTATAATATTTTGATTAAAATTTTAATTAATTTAATTTTTTTTCTAACTAATCACCGAAAATTTTTTAAAAATTATTTTCTATAATTAATTAAAATTAATTTAATAACAGACCGATTAATCATTTTAAATTGATTCTAACTTAATTCAATTAAAATAGAATTATAAACACCCCTAAATCCTTAAAAGATAAAGGTTAACCGGTACTGTTTGCGAACAATCCCTCAAAAGACAAAACATAAAGAACTTACAAATTCTGTTGCATGCATTGAAGGACACATTCACCACTGCATATCAAAACAAATGATTAAATTATATCATCAGTGTACTTTGGTTCCGGCAGATGATTCTATGCACCAGTGGTTCCTGAAAAACTGATTCCAAATAAACAGTGAGCAACATTTGCCAAGCATTCTCAAGTATTTTTCCCTCCAGAACCATCTCAAAAGGGGATACCAAAAAAAAGAAGAAAATAAATATATCTTTAGTTATATCTGTTTTCAGAAGAAAAACAGGGGATTGGGACAGAGCAAACTCTGTTTCATAGTACAAAGATCAGTAAAGTAACATCACAAGAGCACTTCCAATGTAGAGCCAAAGTTTCCAAGATTTACGTCGCTATGAAACCTTGAAGCCCTCAAAAGCACAGCAGTAACAGGTCATGAACTTTAAACAATGAGTTTCCTTCATATCATTCTTGGCATGCAGAGAAATGATTCACCAAAAATGCAATGTTTTTATTCAATGTATTTCAGGCAACATATATAAAGAGATGAAAATAGTTCCTCGTATAGTTAGAGCAAAACTCATTAAAGAACACAAAGAACAATTTGAAGTATCAGTATTAAAAGAAGAATCTTGATATTGCTATAAAGGATATGGTTTCTAGGAAGTTCAGAGCACTTTAGAATTTGCAAACAAATGAAGATAGCCAGGTGTTACATGGTAAAGGCAGTTGTCCTAGGACAGGATGTGGTTTCTCCAATGACGACACAAGAAGAAACCAGCGTCAGGTGCTTGATCAAATCTAATGGGGTTCAGAGGCTTCTCCATTGCAATCTTGGTTGATGAAAAACTTTAGGAAGTGAACTACTTTGAAACGGCCAGGAGTGTCGTAACGTTTAGATCCGGGGATCTATCGCTAAACATTGACTTTTAGGGAGTCGCCACCAATCTTTTTTTATCTAGGTGCGATTGGTCACCTAAGGAATCTGTCCTTTCAGGGAATACCTAAGCTTAAGGGTCCCTAAAAGAATAGGTTCAGGTCTGCTAACCAGAACAGGGTTCGAGAGTTCGGTTACGTGTGAGGAAGGTTATAGCACCCTCACAACGCCCATCAAAAGATGGTACCAGCTTAAATTTGTGTTATCCAAAAGCCTTAAAATTTTACCAAGTAATTAATTATTGAAAATTATTCTCAATTGACTCTAATACTTTTAGTAGAAAATTGAGAAAATTTCCTCACCTCAAGAGTATGCAAGAAAAGCTATTGTTTCACTTACAGAGGCTCCGTCGTCGGATTATTTAAAGAAAAAAAAACAAAATCAAAATTAAGATAGAAAGGAAGGAAAGAATGATTTTTTTTAGGGAAAATTGATACTTTCAACTTTTTCTCAAAAATATTTTTTGGAAATTTCGATTTTCAAGGAAAATTGATACTTTCAACTTTTCCTCAAAAACCCTTTTTTTGAAAATTTATTTCTAAGGAAAATTGATACTTTCAACTTTTCCCCAAAAATATTTTTTTTGAAATTTTGATTTTCAAGGAAAATTGATACTTTCAACTTTTCCTCAAAACCCTTTTTTTGAAAATTTATTTCTAAGGAAAATTGATACTTTCAACTTTTCCGCAAAAATATTTTTTTTGAAATTTAGATTTTCAAGAAAAATTGATACTTTCAACTTTTCCCTAAAAATATTTTTTTTTTGAAATTTTTAAAAATAAATAAAAAGAATATTACATAAACCTAATCTAATAAATAAAAAATAAAATAAACAAATAAACAAAGAAACAAAAAAAAAAAAACCTGAAGCGGCTCGGATCGCGACTCGGCTCGGCTCGGCTCAAGGAAGAGAAACGGCTCGGGGGGAGCGGCTTGGCGGATCGGCTCGGCTCGGAGGGGGCTGGCACGCGTGGGTCAGAAAGCGGGTCGACGCCCGGGTCGGGTCGGGTTCGGCAAAACGCGCGGATCCTCTGGGTTACTTAAGGCCAAAACGACGTCGTTTTGGGAGGGTATAAAAGGTAATCCCCTTCGTTTTTTCGACAGAACGCTCCTCCCTCTCTCTCTCTTCTTCCCTTTTCCTCTCCCTTCTCTCTAAAAACTGAAGAACACCGGTGCCGGATTCTGGAAAATGTCGCCGGAATCTGGAAATTTTACCGAAAGTTGGTCGGAAGATCGCCGGTTTCTGGGATTCTTCGTCGGAAACTGGGTTGGTCGCCGGAAACTTCAAGGTTGGCCGGAATTGTTGCCGGAAAATTCAAATTTCGCCTGAATTTTGGCCGAATCTGGAAATTTCCAGAAATTTTCAGAAAAATTTTTCGCCAAAAATCTCTAAAAATTTTTTCTCACTCTTAGAACACTCCTAAACTTTTTCTAGCTTTCTATACGCCTCCTTTTCTCTCAAATCAGTAACTTTGCTTACTGTTTTCTGTGTGTCTTGCATTCTGTTCCAGAGTCCCTTTTATAGGGATTGATCAGGAGTTCCTGATCAATCCCAATTCCTCCTTGGACGGGAATTCAATCTTTGAATCCCACTGGACTGTTCTGATTGAATTCCCATTTCCAATGGGATTCGTCAGCCTTCAATCTCAGCCCTCCAAAATCAAAATCAGATAAAATAAAAAACTAGATAATTAGAGAAGATAAATCAGTAGATATTATATGATAAATAATAATAAAAAAATATATCAGATATATAATTAGATAAGTAAAAATACAAAAATGAATAAAATAAAAAAGATAAAAAATATATATATATACATAAATAATAAAATACACATAAATATTAACAAAAAATAAATAAATAAATATATACATATATTAATACATAATAATAATAATAAATAATACAATACATAAAATACAAAAGAAGAAGAAAAGAGAAAAAAAATACAAGATAAAATTGAATTGGGCTTACCCATTTGGGCCAGGCCCAATTGATCTGGGTCGGACCCAATAGGGTGTCTACAGCTGCCCCTCTTTGCACATTTTCTGTGAAACAGAAATTGCGCAAAGACGTAGACACCCAATCAAGACTCAACTCAACATTTTTTGGTTTTTTTGTTTTTTTTTTTTTTTTATTTTTTTGTTTTTTTTTTTTTACCAAAGCTCCTCTAAACAGAGGCACCACGACTTTTGGAAAGTAAATTGCTCCTCTAAACAGAGGTACCACGACTTTGAAAAGTAAATTGTTCCTCTAAACAGAGGCACCACGACTTTGGAAAGTAAATTGCTCCTCTAAACAGAGGCAACGAACTTTGAAAAGTAAATTGCTCCTCTAAACAGAGGCACCACGACTTTGAAAAGTAAATTGCTCCTCTAAACAGAGGTACCACGACTTTGGAAAAGTAAATTGCTCCTCTAAACAGAGGCACCACGACTTTGGAAAAAATAAATTGCTCCTCTAAACAGAGGCAACGAACTTTGAAAAGTAAATTGCTCCTCTAAACAGAGGCACCACGACTTTGAAAAGTAAATTGCTCCTCTAAACAGAGGTACCACGACTTTGGAAAAGTAAATTGCTCCTCTAAACAGAGGCACCACGACTTTGGGAAAAATAAATTGCTCCTCTAAACAGAGGCAACGAACTTTGAAAAGTAAATACTCCTAGACAATCATGTCCGAAGGAGTTGAAAGTTGTGTTTGAAGGGATTTCAGGAGATTATGCCCAAAGGTCTTATAAATCAACTCTGATACCAAGAGACATCCTATTTCAAGGATTAGGAACTTACCTGACAAGTTTCTTCTCAAACTTGCAAAGTCTTTTCATATTTGTCTTTTCCATGTGGGATGTTGGAACACCCCTGCTTCTTGC